CATGTATTACTGTCCAACATACATGCGTTAAAAGGTAATTGGGATCATGTTCTTGAGGTGAGGGGGACAATGACGCAACGTGGAGTGGTGAAGGTCCCAGGCTGCAGCATGATTGAAGCAAACGGAATAGTTCATGAGTTTCTGGCAGGGGATAAGACACACCCACAGATAAATGAGATCGAGGATATGTTAGATGAAATGTCAAAGAGATTGAAGATTGAAGGTTATGCACCAAATACACATGAAGTTTCACTTGACATTGATGAAGAAGAGAAGGAATCCACTCTATTTAGACACAGTGAGAAGCTTGCAATTGCCTTTGGGCTTATAACTATAAGTCCACCAACACCAATACGGATAATCAAGAATCTGCGAATATGTAATGACTGTCACACTGCAGCAAAGTTCATTTCCAAAGCTTTTGATCGTGAAATTGTGGTGAGGGATCGTCATCGTTTTCACCACTTTAAGCAGGGTTCTTGTTCTTGCCTGGATTACTGGTAGCAGATTATCATACTTGGGCAAATTGATTTATTTACTTTGTTGATGAGATCTCACCTGAAGAACTTGTCTAGTTCTACCAGAGTATGAGTTATATATTCTGTGCAGTTTAGTTGTGCAATGGGTCTCCTTGGCATGGCATTGATAGGATATCTTGCATTCCAGCAAAGCTTTATTGTAGCAACAAATAGCTCACCCGGTAAGGATTTATGCAGCCACTTATGTTGAGAAGTGAAAGCAGGCAGTAATTTTAGTGTGCCATGGTTGAGGACAATTTGGAGGTAAAAACAGTAAATTGTGGATATTTTCAATGGAAAACCACTGCAGATCTATTATTTTACAAAGAGGCCATTTTTCTACGAACTCATTACTATGCTGGACACAAGCATGGGGTTTATATACCATGTTCATTTCTTTGCATGGCACTGGTTTGGAAGATACCACCAAGGATCCAGGTACATGAGCCATTTCTATTATCAACCACATATCTTACTTCATGTTATTGCTTGAAATTAAATCCATGTCATTTTTGTTATGCAGGGTGTTGAGCCAGACTCCTTTATCCAAAGATTGCTTCAGCAAACATGTGACAAATTGGTAGGAGCTTTTAAAGAATATGTTTCCATGGCGAGGATAGGCACAGTTTTAGTATATTGGTATAACGTGATGGCACAAATGTAATTCCTCCAAGCAGATTTGCCTAGCTTTTTCTAAAGTTGCGTCCATTTCTCTTTTACTAATTGAGTTACACTTCTGTTCGAGTTGCAGATTGTCATTCAGCTGAAGTGATTATCTGTAGGAGAAAAGTTCTCCAATCAGTGTCTATCCTGTATCTTGGTGATTGTGATTGTGGGATGTATCGACATCATAATAGTACTTGAAATAGTACCAGCAGAGGAGTCAGGCAAACTAGGCTCTCCATTTGTACATCGATTTAATAAAAGATATTTGCTCTTTATGTGTGTGCATTTTTGGTTTGCTATTCTGGCACTAATATGTTCATTACTGTTACCATTTCAACCAGTTTTTGCTTTTGCAATGAGGGCCTTTGGTAATTCTGCATTTCCAGAATTTGATCAATATGTATGCTGGCAATGAATGTTCTCTTACCAAGGTACAAAATGAACCACTTTCATTTTTATATAACTTTGACAAAACCTTTTGGCAGCTAAGTGGTACAAGATGAGTAACATTGACCGAATACGAAGCTCCCAATGAATTAAGTATTTCTGCAGCTAAATGATACAACAAAAGTAATATTGACCAAATACAACAACAATGAATTAATCAGAATGAATATTTTAGATTCAAAAATGTGCATTTTGCTAATATTGCTTGATATCTTCTTCATCTATCATCATTGACCATTATTTTTTGAATGATGTTACATATCCTAAGTTTCTATCCCGAGTTTTGTATCTCTAGTGATTTGTCATTGTTTGAGAAGGATTTGTAGATTATGTGATCCATGTTGTGTCCCTGAAAAATAATGTAATGTCACTAGCCGCAAAAATTTGAGATTTATAACACTGCCCCTCTTCTTTTATTGACTTTTAAATGGACCAAAAGAATGAACTTCTTCTACAAAGAATTCCGGACCTGTAAACATAAATCTCTTCCATGTTACCAACATAAGCTTGTCTGTGAGGACCAAATGATATTCAGGAGTTCAAACACTTCAGCCAATAATCATCTTAAGGTCTTCTTATCTCTACAGCTTTCGCTTCTTTTCAATTTCCACCATTCAGGTCATGTATTAAGCAGTCTATATCAGGCACATTTTCTGTTTCGCTCATATGCCTGATCATCAGTTCCAAAATTTCGTAGACAGACTCTGTGTGAGAACCCATCTTGTCACTAACAAAAAAACTATAAACCTGGTTCTTCACCTCTATCCAACTCCTCCCAGCTTCTTTCTTGTTTCCCATAAGTTTCATTAGCTTCCTCACTTTCGCAAAGTCTCCCCATTTACCTTCATCCGCATAAATATTTGACAGCGTCACATAAGTCCCCATCATATTTGGCCTCAAATCTAAAACTCTCTGCGCCGCCAATTTGCCCAAATTTGGAAATCTATGTGCTTTACAAGCACTGAGTAGTGTACCCCAAATGGACTCATCAGGCTTGAGCGGCATACGCTCTATCAGTTCATATGCCTCCCTGACTCTCCCAGCTCGGCCTAGCAAATCCACAACACAGCCATATGTCTCTTTATCTGGCTTGATATTGTAATCACCCATCATTGAGCTGAAGTACCTCAAGCCTTCATCCACTAATCCAGCATGACTGCAAGCACTCAGAACAGCCATAAAAACAATTCTATCAGGTCGAACACCTGATGTAACCATCTCATCAAACAACTCAACAGCCTCTTTTCCATATCCATGTGCCCCATATCCAATCATCATTGAAGTCCAAGTGACTAAATCTCTGCGAGACATTTCACTGAAGATTTTCTGCGAGTCAGATATGTTTCCACATTTGGCATACATATCGATGAGCGCATTAGCCAATGCCAAGTTTCCATCAATGCCTCTGCGAACAATTCCACCGTGAACCTGTTGTCCACACCTCAGGACTGCCAAATTAGCACAGACAGCTATAATACTAGTAAATGTGAAGCAATTTGGACAGAATCCTTCTGACTCCATCTGTGAAAATATATTGAGAGATTCTAAGGAATCCGTTCTTTCATATCCAGCTATCAATGTGTTCCATGTTATCAAATCATTTTCAGTCATCTCATGAAAGTATTGATTTGCCTCAGATAAGCCACCACACCTGCAATACATGTCTAGCATAGAATTCATTACTGGAAGATTGGATCCGAACCCATGTTTAGTCACTGCTGCATGTATTAGCTTGCCAAAAATAAGCCGTCCAGTCGAGGTACAAGCTCTAACTGCGATCGAAAAGCTATATGGACTCAATTCTACTTCCTCCTGCTTGCAATAAAATGCAACAATATTAAGCATATATTATATACTACATCTATTTTATACATTTCTATAAAACTACCCGAAGTGAAGCTTTCCTACAACAAAGTTGATATCTTGTTGAAAATTGTAACTCTGTTCAAGCAAGCCTTACGTCCAACTAAATGGGGTCAACTATATAATTTTTTATATGCCATCCTATCTATCTGGAGCCACAATTTCCGTTTAGTGTTAGCAATGACACTTCTATTATGAAGTTTGTCAGGTGAGGATGTCCACAATTTTTTAAAGACCAGACTTGAGCTCTTGGCGAAAAGTTAACTGTTTTCACCAAAACTGATAGGAGCGACATAACTGTCCTTACAACTCTTTCGGTTAGAGTACAAGTCCGAATTTTGAAAGCGGAAGTGTTTTTGAAAACCTCACAATATGTTTGAAAAAAGTAATACTATGATAATTAACTACCCACCATTAGCATTTGTCTGAAGACTCTGAGGCCAGCATAGCCATCACCTCTGTGAGTGTACCCAGTGATCAAGGTAGTCCACGAGACATCATTCTTAATTTTCATAACTTTAAAGACTATACAGGCATCATCCATGAAAACACAGCACGTAGCATACATATCCATGAGTGCATTATCAACATAAATCGACCCTTCCAAGCCTTTCTTAATAGCCAGTCCATGAACCAAAGCCCCATGCAAAACACACTTCATTGCTTTACAAGCTTTCAACACACTTGATACGGTAAATGCATTTGGCTCAACTTCACTTCTAACCATTTCAACCAACATGTTCCACGCATGAGTGTGGTAATTAGATGATGTGTAGCATGCAATCATGGCCGTCCACGTAACCACGTCTCTGTCGGGCATTTCATCGAACAGTGTACGTGCTTCTTTGATTAGGCCCTTCTCGAAGTAAGATCTAATGAGATTTGTAGCTAAAATGGATGGACCCTTTTGTGTTGTAGGTGGTTTTGGTTGGGTATAGGGTTTATGGGGCCATGTAAGAGAGTTCGTGACAATGGGTGGTAATTTATTGAAGTGAAAAGTGGAGGTGGCAGCGGATGATAGTAGTTTCTTTGCGCTCATATTACATGATCATAGCCTGTCCAAATGACTGAACTATTTCTCAAACTTTTACATCTAGTGGGTGCTCCTTGATTGTATAAACAAACTTCGAGATGGACAATTTGAGCTTGTCAAGCCAAGCACATAAGTCGAATATTTTGCCCAGAATTAGAGGACCTTTAACTTTCACTTATATACGCACCGAAACAATTGATAACTTCACAATTCACGAGACTTGAGATGGCTATTACTAGCGAAACAGAAGGCGAAGACAAATAAGGACTCAACTAAAAGGGAATAAAGAGAAGCCATCCCACTTCATCTCTGGTGATAACTATTCGGGGAAAGCAAAACTTGAAACCATAGACCACAATTTAATGGCTATAACTTGAGTCATGGGATTCAAAGACAAGGACCTGAATATATATCAAACTCAAAAGATGTCTGGGTAAAGAGCATCCATGGGAAGCAAATAATCAAATACAATATAACCAATCCATTAATAAATAAATAAATATGGTGAATGTGTAAGTGTAACCATTGCATATAATATAAAAAATACAGATGACCTTGCAAAAGAGCCATGGTAGAATCCAGGGCCTCCCTCTATGCTAAGTCACTAGAAACTTGTATGATCAACTTTTTAGTTAATCAATCGGACGAATAAACCATCACTACTGTACAGTTATGCTGAAAATTCTATATGTTACACTTTTAAGGCTTAAAATTTCACTTTATCAATTCTTTTATTACTATGCCCTAAACTTGTGACTGTACAATACAAAGACACTCTGCCTTATACGAATGCCTTCGTATAAAAATGGTATCTCAGTTAGACGAGAATCTGAGACTTAGCTGCACCACGAGAGCATTTCTTCCGCCCAGTCTTGCTAAGAGCACAGACACAGATCTCGAGAAGTTCGTAATCCTCATCCCAGAATAACAAGGAAGCCATTTCTGGATTCTCCAGGAGCATTTTAGATGTCAAGAACCCCGCAATAGTCCATGTCTGGAAAAGTCGTGCTTGTTTTCCAATAAACTTCCCTGTTCGGGTGTCATAATATTCAGGCCAACGGTCAACTGCAAGCCTCTTTTCAGCCATGTCAACTGCCTTCTGGGCTAATTCAAATTTTCCCATCTTGATGCATGCCAATGTGAACTGAAAATGAGGTAATTATAAATTTTAGAAAGAAAAGCTCAGTTAAAAGACTTAAGATAGAAAGCAATTGCGGATAACACGAGCCCATAAACCAAAAAGAAACAAATTTGGATGCATACAGGAACTATGCGTTACACTTTTGTTTCAGATAAATGAATACACGACCAGAGCTATCGTCCTGCCGTCATGCTGTTTATAAATGCTATCTATCTACTTAGGGCATCATTACATCGTTGACTACGAAGTAAAACTGGCCATTCAATGAATCAACCATAAAATGGAATGTTTAAATACTCAACTCCATACTGATTTAAAAAAAGGGGTAAAAGGGAAGGGTGATTTTTTATGCAACCAAATCCACATACAAAACGGCAAGCAGCTGGGTTGAGCGTGAATAGACATGGATCTACTGGTGGACCTTGTAAAATTATTTGTTCACTATTGTTGTGGGCCACCAATTATACTAGGATGACCATAAAAATACCCAAAAATATAAACATGTATTGAGCTATCCTCAGAAGCCTAAATAATATATGTCAGTGATATCTAAGCTTACCTGCCACAAAAGTGTTGGCCAAGATCCACCATTATGATATGACCAGGGGCTGCAAGGATTTATAAGAAAAATGTATCAGTGTTGATGAACATTTTCAATTGAACCATAACATAATTTGCTATTGCTATAAAAACAGGATATCTACACATACACACATACACACACACACATAAAGGATATATATGCACACATATACATGCGCACATGCACACACATGCGCAAGTGCCTGCAAAAATATACACACAGAACTCACGTGTTCTTTGGATCACTGCCAGTGATAATACGCCACTCTTCATGCTCCACAGCAGGGTAACATATCTTCAAAGGCATATGCCCCACAAGATCATCCCATTTGGCTTCAAAAAGATTTAAAATAGCTTCGTTTTGCTTTGGAGTACCCAAAGATGAAATGATGGACCAAAGGTTACCAAGCGTGAAGAACCTAAAATCCATGTGAGCAGGCTGTAGATTGCCAATCAAATATCCACCTTCCTCTGGTATCCAATCCATTAGCCATGCAGGAATTTGATCAGGATAAATATTGAATTTGTTGGTGGCATCCATGGAGTACTCTTCTGTTTTGTACCGGTATATTTCATTGATCTTCTTCATATCCACCCAATAATATTCTCTTATGTGAAACGATAATGCACTCAGCCTATTGTTGATGGCTCTAACTAAATTTTTGGATCCTTCACTTACTGAGAGCATCTCACGAGAACACCGTAGGGCTGTATAAAACAAGGCCTGCAGAAACAAATTTTAGACAGGTAAGTTCATGATATTGCATTCCAAGCATAGTTCAACTTCATTAATTCGGAATTTCATGTTTCTAATTAATCCCCCTCCCACATTCCATATAGAGCTTTAAAAACTCAAAAAGTTCAGAAACCAGGTATCTCCATCAAACAATTCAACATGGGGAACAGCTATCTCTCAACGGTTTTTCTCATTCACTTCACATAGACAAGTTAAAAGGGTAGACACACCATGGAAAGTATCCTTCTAACTGGCATGCAGATACTCAATGACAACATGAAATACCCAATTTTTAGTTGAAAGGTAAATACATAAAGGACAAGAAAAAGAAAGATGGACTCAAACTCACTTGGATCTCAAGGGGGTGACCATGGATACCCATCCGACGGTCTATCATGCAGGACCCATCAGTGACTAACAAAGAAGGAAACATATCGAAACCATCAGCTAAGCACAAATTCATAATCAATTTTATGCCCGTCTGAACATCCACCCTTTCTTGTAATGCATAGTCACCAGTGATCTTTCCATATGCCCTCAATAAAATAATCCACCACAATCCTATTACAGAAGCATAAAAACTGATGCTATCACAAACAGAAACTCCAGGAATAACTTACAAAAGCACAAGGCAGAAAGTACTAACAGTGTGACATCTTAACTCTTTAAAAGAAAAAAAAAAAAAAAAAAAAAAATCATATTTTGTCAGTGCACAAACCAGAATCTACAGGTGCAACACGACCAATTGCTGATTCACCAAAATCTGGATCTAGGACTTCTTCAAACTTATTGCCATCGAGAGGTACACTTCTGACTTTAAAACTAGCTGGCATCAATCCCTGTCCTGGGCTGTAGCAGTCCACCGTTTTCTCCCAACTCTAAATTGAACATGAAAAAAATATAGTTACTTCAAATTGATCAAATACCATATGGCTAAAATATGCTAGCAATGCAATCAACAGAAAGGGACAACGAACAAAGTAAAACAGATTGTCATCCCATATTTGAGACTGCAGAACAGGAAGACAGTTTGTAACATGACAAACAAAGAATCAGAGATAAATAAAATTAAATCTGACAAAAACTTCCCCTTCAGTAGTTTTGGCAGAAGTTTGCATCACAACTACCAAAATCATCAAACTGATAATTGATAATGATATGCCCTCTTAATATTATATATATATATATACCTTCTCTTAAATATGTATCCTCTCAAAATCATGTAAAAGAATAACACAATATAAAACGATCATCACATGAACCTAAACATAAACAATCATGCAATAGAATAATACAATATAAAACCATCATTAGATGAACCTGAACATTAAAAAAACAAATATTCATCATCAGACATAAGTAGCCAAAGCACAAAATAACATATTACAACCACTAAAAAGCAATTACGGTAAACTATGAATTATCACCTGTAACTGCAAGGTATGAAGGAGGAAATTCTTCAGTATTTCCGATTCTCCTCTCAGCAGGAAAGCCAAAGCAGAAGGCACGAAATCACGAATAAACACTTGATCATAATTCAACGGTTGTTTATCATTAAGATCATTAGCAGCCATAGTCCCTACAGGACTCCCACAATACGTTACCACAGATTCTTGCAACAATCTCCATGCCTCCTTTTCAATATCAGTCTCTTCTCTCCTAGGACAAGTCTCAATCCTTGATTTTTTAACACCCTCCAAATTTTTGTCTCCATCGACTTCTTCAACACTACCAACTTCAGCTATTGATTCTTGCCCCCCCACAATGTTTTCATCTTTATCAATTCTCTCAACAACCAAAGGCTTAACATTTATACCATTTTGAACATAAATTCTTTCAAAATTTGTATCATTCACACGAGTCTCAACAGAAGTTGACAAGTTTTGAACTTTAGCTTAAAAAAAAAATAAGCAGATAAGTGCCAGACTTGCAAGTAGTTAGGGATTATCCACATGCCCAAGTCCTATTATATTGAGGATATTTCTCGTGCAGATAACCAATGGGATGCAAAGAAAGATTTGCACGACACTTACCTACTTATAGACTTATAATCATTACCTTCAACTCTCCCCACATAAATAGAGGACATCCTCTCATTTACTGATTAACTGATCTTAGTCTAAATAGTTTATACTCTCTCTCTCTCTCTCTCTCTGTATTGTCTCTAGATTGTAATTCAACTCGCCTTACACGAACCGATTTTACCATCATTAATACATAACAGTGGACGTATGATTCGCTTTTGAGCATCGAACTACTTTAAATATCACTTCTCATTATTGTTTCATTTCATGTTTTCTTATCACGTGTGATTTCTAAGCCGCGTAGCACTTTAACATGTGAGTTGTTGGTGTCAAAATCAAACATCAACAAAATTAACTTTGAACATTGCTTATATAAATTCTAGCGAAAGTTAGTTAAAGTAGAGAACGTTTATACGGAAATGTGGAGTTATTTAAAAATTTATTTTTGTTAGGACTTAGATGATCTTAACGAAAGTATGAAATTAACTAAATTAATAAATGTATACGTATAAAAAGTTATTCCGTATTATGAAGTGAATCTTTCATCCTAAAATATACAGGATTTCATTGGTTATTGATTTTCAAGTGATATGAAAAGAAAAGAATCCGATAAAAATTTGACTTTACAAACTAGTAATGCATGACTGGAATAACACATACGTAAATACACCTTGAAAATATAATACAAATCTAAGGCCTCTGACAACAACAAAAATTTCAAGAAGTTGCTCGCTATTGTCTTTCAACAGCCACCACCTCCTCCCACCTCCTCCTTTCATTTCCTCCTCCTCCTCCCACATGCTCTCCTGCTTGCTCCTCCACTCCAACGACGTTTCCCGAGGTGCTGTCACCAAGCGAATATGACCATGGATATCATTGAGACTGATGCAACCACCGCGCAAAGCAGAAAAAGTCCCCCAAATTGCTTCCTGCAGGGCCACTACATCATAAAGAAAAACTCTCTGGCCATTTTAATTTGATGTTTCTTCTCTTACTCCTAGCCAGTATATATAGATGAAGAAGCAAGGAATAGTCGTCAATGTAACGACATCACAAGTTAAATTCAATATGTGTGCTTAAGGTGTTTTGTACACTTGTATGAAATTTATCAAGATGTGGATTTTGGAAGCTTCAAGAGTACTGTCGTTTGTACAGGGCGTGACAATTCAAACACCATGGGACAATGCTTTGAAAACTATATGAAATAACTGAAGTGACTCTCTAGAGTCGGAACAGCATATAGCGTTCACATATAATATTATCATTTGAAGCCAAGCTAATTGAATGTCCTACGAATCTTCAAGACATTAAATTCAAGCGGATTTTGAAGTTTCAAAGTAGATATTTTCATTGAGAAAATTTAAGGAATGACACGAAGAGACGAGTGAATGGCTGTGGATGGGAGAGGTCTATTAAAGATAAGTCCAAACAGTAAAAAACATGGTAGTAGTCTTTTCCCTTATATATATATATAATTAGTAAAATTATTTTTTCTATTTTAATTCAAAAAGCATATTACTCGATAGACTTTTTTATTTTTTAAATGAGAAGAGTCTAAAAAGGTAAATTGATAAGAAAGATTTAGAAATAAATTGATTATAGATCTTGAAATCCATCCATAAAAATCTTTCATTATGAATTAAATAAGGAAATAATCTTGTAATCATGGAATTAGAATCAATTATGAGGCATTTTAAATATTAGGGTGGCAAATTAAAACATATTATTTCCTGACATAAATATATATGTCATAAATAAGATATATAAGCGAAAAGTTAAAACATATTTTTAATTGTTATATACTATATCAATTATTAGATTCTAAACATGTTCTCTATTATATATATAATATATATTAATAATATAAATGTACAAATTGAGATAAGTCATAACCCAAATAAATAAATAAGTATATATATATATATATTATTAATATATATATATATTATATATTATATATATATATATATATTATATATATATATTATATAATATATATTATATATATATAATCACAATAAAAAAATATCATTTAAAAAAAAACTAAAATATCTTCTTTGTATAGAATCTTTCAATAATCATCTACAAATTAGAACATCATTAATTATATTTGATACATAATATCATAATAACATATATATAATACCAATATATATGTAAATGTTAATATATATTATTATTATTCTTGCAAATAAAAATTTGGGTCCAAAAAAAAAAAATAATAGAGTAAAAGTAAAACTATAATCATCACATATTTCATAGTTAATAAAGAGTAAAAATACATTGCAATATTTTTAAAGAAAGAGTTACAAAAAAATAATAATAATAATAAATCAACTATGAAATGATAAAAATCCCCAAATTCCCGCGGGCTGAGTTCGGGGATTCTCCTAAATCTCCGTTCAGGGACTCCCCTGGGCCTCGAGGCAGGCTTGGAGACAGGGGTTCTTGACCTGACCCTTGCCTATCCCTTGGTTTGTAAGATATTTAATGAACTTTAGGGATTAGTTGATATGTATTCAAGCTCTGTTGTGACTCCAGATATAAAAAAAAAAAAAAAAACATTATAATTAATTGAGATGTGCATAAACAAGCTCGAATACGGTTATAAAAAATAAAAAATAAAATTTCCTTCCTTTTTAATTAGAAAATGATAAAATTATTGGTCTTGTACTATAATTAAAACTATCAATTGCATCACTGATGATCACAACCATTAAAGGTCAAAATATCATTAGAAATTAAAAAAAAAAAAAAAAATCAATAAATATAATGCATGTGGCTTTCAATATCATCAACAACCACCCTATGAAGCAATGTTGTATGTAAAAATATTATGAGAATGAGGTTATTTCCCATGTGATGATGAGACTATGCCGCCAATGGTTTCTGGCCTCTGAATTCAACTTCTAATGAGGTTACTCAAATGTCTCCCCTCCAAACCAGTTTTTGAGATGTCCAAATGCTCTATGGTGTTCACCACTTAGTTGACTCTCTTTCATAATTAAATAGCCCTATGTCTTTGACAGCAAAACTGGCACATCTCTCTTCCCCAATTAAATCATCACTTAATGTAAAACCCATCTTCAAACCAACTAAAAACTCTCAATCTTAGAGACCCAGTTGCCAAAATGTCAAAATTTGAAACTATTCACTCAGATACTCTCTCAAATGATCTCACTGGCTTTTTACAGACACATTTGCTGCAAGTAGACTTTTCAAATGCTCCACGAATTAGACATCGATTACTTTTCAAAGTCTTAGTTACATAGAGAACCCAAATGCGTTCATTTTTAACACCATGATCAGAGCCTTTATTCAAAGAAACTCTCCTCAAAAAGCCTTTTTGTTGACAAACTTATGTGAATGACAATGTGGGTGTTGATAATTACACTTACCACTTCTTGCTCAAGCTAGTGCACTACGTTTATCCGTTTTTGAAGGGAAATTGATTCATGATCACGTTGTGAAAGTGGGTTTTGATTCAGACGTATAGTTAATAATACATTGATAATATGTATGCTGTTTGTGGAAATTGTGTGATTGCACGTAAACTTTTTGATGTGTAAGTCCTGTGTTGGACTGGTTTCTGGAATTCTATCTTGGCAGGTTATGTTAACGCGGGAAATTTAGAAGAGGCGAAGGTATTTATGATAGGATGCCTGAAAGGAACATAATTGCTTCGAATTCAATGATTGTGTTGTTTGGTAGAAGAGTTATGTGAATGAGGCTTGTAGGTTGTTAATCAAATGGTAAGAAAGATTTGGTTTCATGGAGTGCGCTGATTTCTTGTTATGAGCAGAATGAGATGTACGAGGAGGCTTGGTTATGTTCATGACAATGAATGATCATAAAGTTATGGTGGATGAGGTTGTGGTTGTTAGCGTTCTTTCTGCCTGTGCACATTAACGGTTGTGACAACGGGGAAATTGATCATAATTTAGTTGTGAAGATTGGAATTGAATCTTATGTTAATTTCAAAATGCATTGATTCACATGTATTCAAGTTGTGGGGAGATATACGGCTGAGAAACTGTTCAATGCAGGTTACAGCTTGGACTTGATATCTTGGAATTCTATGATATCAGGGTACTGGAAATGTGGTTCAATTGAAAAGGCCAGAGCTTTATTTGATATCATGACTGAAAAGGATGTTGTGTCTTGGAGTGCAATGATTTCAGGCTTGCTCAAAACAACCAATACTTGAGACCTTGGCATTGTTCCAGGAGATGCAGCTTCATGGGATTCAGCGATGAGACCACTTTGGTGACTGTCATCTCAGCTTGCACCCACTTGGCCGCCCTTGACCAGGGCAAGGGGATTCATGCATATATAGGAAGCATGGACTCAAGATTAATGTCATTCTGGGTACACCCTTATAGACATGTACATGAAACTTGGGTGTGTGGAAAATGCAATGGAGGTTTTCCATGGGATGGAGGAAAAGGGGGTTTCTACTTGGAATGCTCTCATTCTTGGCTTTGCGATGAATGGCTTGGTGGGCAAGTCACTTGACATGTTTTCAGAGATGAAGAAAAGCGGTATAGTGCCAAATGAGATAACTTTATAGGGGTTCTTGGGGCTTGTCGGCACATGGGCTTGTAGATGAAGGGCACATCATTTTAATTCCATGATTCAAGAGGACAGGAGGAACCCAATATTAAGCATTATGGATGTATGGTTGACTTCTAGGACGTGCAGGTATGCTCAAAGAAGCGGAGAAACTCATGGAGGTATGCCCATGTCCCCAGATGGTGCTAGTTGGGGTGCTTTGCTTGCAGCCTGTAAGAAACATGGTAACATGAAATGGGGGGAGGGTAGGAAGAAAGCTTGTTGAGCTTCAACCTGATCATGATGGTTTCCATGTTTACTGTCCAACATAAATGCATAAAAGGTAATTGGGATCATGTTCTTGAGGTGAGGGGGACAATGACGCAACGTGGAGTGGTGAAGGTCCCAGGCTGCAGCATGATTGAAGCAAATGGAATAGTTCATGAGTTCTGGCGGGGGATAAGACACCCCCACAGATAAATGAGATCGGGATATGTTAGATGAAATGTCAAAG